AATGGACATTTTATGTATGCCGACTTATTTAATTTAGCATATTTCAATATTTGCATATTATTAAATCATTGCGGCATTTAAACGATACGATGATATTAGTTGTTGTTGTTGTTGGAGTATCTTCTGCATTGTCATCACTTCAAAAGCTTTAAGTTTATTTGCTTTTTGAGTTATTATTTATGTAATGTAATCAATTGTCATGTATTTGTGCAAAATCAGCTAATTGTCTCTGTTGCGGATTTGTCAAGCCATGCTACAGTTCAGTCCATTTATATGTCGCTATAATCATGAATCTAAATAAGTAAGATGTCTTTTGATAGAACAATAAGTTTTTTGTATTTGCCAGTGCTGCTTGGCTGTCTGGTTTTTGTACTACTTGTGTGCTGACATGCTAATTTTAGTTTTTTTAAGCAGCTAACATCTATGTATTCCCAAAATCTGATAAAGGGTGAACAAGAAGTGAGGCCAAAGGTATCTACGCCTTAGGCTCGCCTAAGCTGCACTGCAAAGGATTTCATACTGAGATGACTCCACCTCATTAATATGGTTAAATACTGCAGTAAGGGATTGAGGTTTTGTTGAACGTTACCGCATGGATCCCAAATTGATATCGGCCAGTTAAGACCTCTATCAGTAGCGAGAGATGCCCTAGTTTAGCTTTAAGAGCTCCTTAAAGCACAAACAGACGGCAGCGTTGATCTGGATCAACTCGGGAATTAATTGCAGTTGATCCGGATTAAGTCTGTTTAAGCTTTTNGAAAAAAAGCTTCTCATAAAAATACAATCGCCGTTCGGAGTCGGCGTAAAACTGTAGGTCCCTCGGCTTTGTGTGACAACATCAAGGCGCACGCCACAAATCGGAGGAGAAGCTCGGCCAAACACTAACATATGTGTAAGCGCCAATCTATTATTCTTATATGTATGCATCCCATCGTTTTAGTGACACCTTTCGTTTGTACATAGAAAAAGGTATGTGATCTGAGAAAAAGTAGAACTCGAATCACCCACAAAGATTAAAGACAAGATGAAGGGGTAGGTGAAGAGGAAATTAATGAAGGTGATGATAACCAGAAGATGAAGATGAAGGTGAAGATAAAAGCAAGGGTTACATGTAGATGAAGATACAAATAAAAATAAAAGTAAGTAAAAAAATATCTATAAAGATAAGGGCAAAGACAAGGAATATGACAAACGCGATATAGTCATAAGCATGGACATAGACACATATGTACATTAACATAGACAACGTAGTGGACACAGACATAGACATATGTATACTCAGAAATAGACATGACCATGCACTTAGAAATAGACGTAGACATAGATATAGACATAGACATAGACATGGACATAGACATAGACATAGACATAGACATATACATATACATACATAGACATATACATAGACATAGACATAGACATATACATAAACACAGAAATAGACATACATCGGCAAAGAAATACAAATAGACATAGACATAGCTATACACAGACATATACATAAGCATACACATAAAAATAGGAGTATACTTAGACATAGACATAGGCATATACAAAAACATATCCATAGCCTTAGACATAGACATTGACGTGGACATTGCCATAGACATAAACATAGACAGCCATGGACAACAAAATATTTAAGGAAATTTATTGCAAACTTTTTCTTTTAAATAATTTTTTCAATGAAGGTTCACTTTTTCCGCGCTTAGTGACTGTACGCACCCAGTTTTTTGTGTATACATTTTAAAAAATTTTGTAATACTTAAAAACGTACATACGTACATACATATAAAGATATGTAGATACGCATAGTAATACATAGTCCCATTTCTACTTCCAGGTTACATGCTCGCCTCCACTTTAACCGCAGATCAACCCGAACGTACACTGCAATTACAATTGGATCAACTGTTGGTGCATGTCATGAAGATTCTCAATATCTACTATCATCTCATTACCCAACAAAAGCCGCTACTATTCGTGAAAGTGCAGAAAGGTGATCTCTTCGCAAATGCAAAGGAATTGACGTTGGTGCAAAGCGTTGGTTATTTCGGAAGCGATTACGTTTATATAAAACTTTACAACATTTTAAGAAGTGCTAATGACAGCTACAAGGTGAGCGTAATTCCACCATTTACCACACAGACCAACTTACATATGTATGTATGTCTGTACAGTAACACCAGCAGCAGGGCTATGTATACCACTCCATTTGGTTGTTTTTTTTTTCTCTCTGCCATATGTATGCATGCATTTGTGTAAATGTATTTGTTGGTTTTCATAGCTGTATGCATATTCCCAGAGTGGCCACGTAGTGCTAGAGCTTCAGTTAAATCCCTGCAGACTTTTGGGAGTTCGCACTCCAAGTGCAATTACATACAGTGGACATTTTAATATTTTGTGTCTGTGTGTGATTGTGATCACCGAGACACAAACGCACCCGCGCGCGCACACATTACCTCCTTTGGCTGGACGCGGGCACATTACGTAAATTGTAAAAGTTTTGTTGGCTTTTCGCTGTGCTGCGCTGCTTTCTCGGTTTGTTTTGCTTTCGTTCGCTTGTCCGCCCCAGACTGGTTTTGTCTTTCGCGGACTTAAATTTCGATTGTGGCTGGAGACTTATTCTGCTGGCACTACTAGGTATGTACATATGTGCTGTGTATGTATGCAACGACTGGTTATCCTGTAGGACTCTTTGGGTATTGCTTTGGGCACTCTCTGGTTGCCCATGTTGTTGTTGTTGTTATATCTGTTTTTGAGCTGTGCAACCGCACGAATGCCGAATATGTAAGCGAGATTTTGTGGCTTTTCGCGTTGGTTGTGAGGATTTTTAGTATCTGATACTTGTGGTTTAAAAAGTTGCAAACCAGCAGAAATCATTAAGGCGGAGAGTGCAGTGTAAAGGAAGAGAAGCATATATATGTATGTATTTATATATGTATTTAGTTATGTAGGATGCGACGACCTGCGCGGAGTGATGGATGCACAGCGTACAGTTAGTAAACGAACGTGTGCAAATGGCAGCTGCGTGCGTACTTTGCAAACATACTTACTCGTATCTAACTACTCGTATCTACGGATGTACTATACATATATACACATCTGCATGTGCGGAGCAATAAGTTGAACGTGGATATGTATGTGTGTATGCGCATCTACGCCTGTTCCTCCGATGTGATAATTTGTGCTGCATTTTAAGTTGCAATGGGTGTGACGAGTGCCAAAATCGCTAACTGTGACTTACTGACTCACACGCTGCAGCTTAGGGCGAAGCTTTGTTTGTTTTTTTTAGTTTTCTTACATTTTAGAATAAGAGCGCTTAATGTACTCAGTTTATGTTGGTTTACTTTTGGTTTACGCTTGTACGTGTTTATCTAAACATCACTACTGTATTGCCGTATATGCGACCGGCGAGACGCATTTGAAATGTGCGATTAAGTCGCCTTCGTGCCAGGGCTAGAAAGTGGCAGAAAAGGTGCTCTACACTTTCCACATGTTCCTCGACCTTGAGCATATGGCAGAAATCGTTTCCGCGGTACCCTCTCCACTAACCGGGTACTTTCATTCATTATGTGGTACCAAATTATAATTGCAGCATCTTCAGGCGGAAGTATTGGCTATAAGGAGAGCGGCGGATCTCAGCAGCAACCTAGTACAAAAACTGGTGAATCTCTACATTGACAGTCAGGCTGCGTTTAAGGCGCATCTTTCGCACAGCACTTCCTCAAGGGGTGGGGTGGAGTGCAGGGCAGCTCCGCAAGATGTCTAAGATTATGTGCGGAGCGTATGACATAAAGCTAATGAAGTTTCTCCTTTCCCTCAAGAGGGAGAATACTTAGCTAATGGTGGGTGCCCTTACGGGATATTGTTACTGGCATCGCACGCCTTTAAACTGGCTCTAACAAATGATAGCATATGCAGGAGATGCAGAACGAGGAGAGGAGATGGTGGAGCATATACTATGTGTTTGTCCTACCCTAAGTAGACTGCAATTCAGTCTCCTGGGAGCAGGCCTTCAGCCTAACTTGAAAGCCGCTGCCAAGATAGGGTGCAACAAGGTTTTCCGATTTGCAAAGAGGACTGCGGCTTGCTCCTGGCGCTAAGTGATTAACTGTGCAATAGGGTCGTCGTATATCGGTCTCTGCGAAGCCACGCAGTGGCTAGCCAGCTTACCTAACCCAACCTAACCAAATTATAATACTCCGACTGCAGTGATAAAGGGACGGTAAATTGAACGTAAAGACTTAGATCTTCTCTCGTTGATACATAGATCTGCTAAATAACCGATAATGTTGGTTCCCTTATCTACTGTCGTTTGCGAGTTCAATGAATCCTGATCTGTCTGACAGGTTCGTTTAAGGCTGTATGCGGCCGAAGTTGTCAAGTGGTTAGAGGTGCGCTCTATCACTTCGTCGTTATTGGGTTCGATCCATAGTTCGAGCACAAACCAAAAAGCAACGAGTCGTTTTCCAGCTATACTTAGGAAAAACAAATTATAGTATCGGTGTTCTATTAGTTGGTTGAAAAAAGTAAAATCGGAATTTGAATGCTCTCACTTCCTAGGATGGTTCTACATATATAGAAAAAATATACCCCTATTTTTTATTTTGAAATCAAAAAATATTTAAAAGTCGCTAAAAAACGCTCAAAGTTTTACATGTATTGTATATGAGTAAAAAACAACTTTTCGTAGAAATGGTATAGAATTCTTGAGAATCTATATTTTTCGATCGGAAAACTCTGGTTCTCTTCAGGGGACTTTCAATAATAATACCCAATTGTTTATTTAACCATTTTTAGTAGTAAAGATCTTTTTATTGGTCCCCTCATTGTATTTTCTGGGGTTTTTGGCGGGTCTATAAAATATAGTTACTATGAAAAAATGGTTAAAGAAATAATTGTGTTTTATTTTTGGGAATCTCTTAAATGAAACAGGTTTTTCCGATCGAAAAATATTGATTTTCAAAAATTCTATACCATTTCTAAGAAAAATTGTTTAATCCCATATAAAATAAATGAAAACTTTCAGCGCTATCTTTTGGTGGTTAAACTGACCGAAAGTCCATTATTTTAAATTGGACATACAGGTTTTTACTACTGATTCAGATTCCGTGTACAAAAATACGTAAATTTTTTTTTGAAACTTATTCTGCGGACAAAAATACGTAACTTTTGTTAGAAACTTTTTTCGCGGAAGTGCCCTTTTCAATCTCTAAATGGCCTTCGAACTTCAAATCGTTATGTACTGCTTAAATGAGTGAAAATGTTTTTACTGGAAAAGGAAAAAATACGAATTACTAAGTCGGGGTTGCTCCATATTTTGGTCGTATTGCCGATGCCCGGTTTCGAGCGCATGTCCATTCCAGAGAAAAGTTTCCGACAAAAATTATGTAATTTTTCCTCAGAATCCGAGTCTATGGTAAAAAAGTGAAAGTCGATAATGGCTTAAGCCATTAAATAATCTACTTTTCCAGAACTCTAGTGTGGCGTTACCCCTTCAAGTTTTTACACTTAATGGACTTTAAAACCTCTAAACGATAGCAAAGGCTCATAGTATTAATCAGTTTCCATACGTTTACTTGAAAGCACTCCTTTATTGGTAGAATTTTAAAGTAGCTAACGAAGTGTCAAGAAATCCTCTAAAGCCTGAAACTGCTTCTGTCAGTACATAAAACGTATCTTTAATTAGTTTCGACAAATTTTTACGCATTAATTTTGTGAGCTTTGCTTTAGTCCTTGCTTGAGCTCAATAGCATAGATGCTGCTCCCACATACACGTATTTAGATACATTCATATACTCTATACGCACACACTCACACATCTACATGAATGTTTATCTTGTACTAACATATCTGCTATTTTTCTTTTCTCTCTTCCCTCGCTTATCCACAGATAACGATAAATCAAGAATCCGGCAGGTTATTAATTTCGCTACTCCGGACGTGCCTCAACACTTTGAGTTTGTGCATTGAATTGCGCACACATGCCGCCCTAGTGATGCCTAGCACCACACCCACGGGCCACACTCCGAGCCATGGCAGACAGCGCGGCAATAGCCCCAGCAGCAGCGGCGGCGCCGCCGGTGGTGGTGCCGGCAGCGGTGGTGGCACGGATACTTCGCCAAGCACCGGACATGCCTTTGGCGTTAGCGGCGGAGTTAGTGCTTCTGCAGTCTTCCCATCCAACGCCATTCTAAAATTAATTGAAGAAATTCTCCAGTATTTGAGCAAACTCGTAAATTATGCGCCCGCCGAGTGCATCGCATGTCTGAGGCAACTGTTGAAATATTTATTTGGCCAAAATTATGGCAACCAACAGCCAGACTATTATGCCACATTCATAAGACCGTATTTTGTGGTGCGCAGCAAAGGACAACAGCTGCAACTCCACCTACGGCAGCAAAGAAGTTTACACAAACAACAAAAGTGGTGGGCACACAGCAAAAAGCAGCATCTCGATGCACAGCAGGGCACATTAGGGAGTGGCACGCAAGGCGGGGGCAACAGTGATCACCGGCAGGCAATCACCATGTGGCATGCCATAAATTCCAATGCAACAACAATACATGCAACATTAGCTACTATGACTGCAGCAACAATTGGTGGCTCAGCAGCGGTATTAAGGAGCGCACGAGCAGGCGATGGCATGTCGACCCCGACAATGACTTCGTCAACTGTCACACAGAATGAGCCAAATGTAATTGGTACACAGACAACTTATGGCAAACGAGGCCAGGCGCATATTGACTTTGGTCTTGATAATGGTGGTGGCGGCAACAATCTACTGCACTTGACAGCGGCGGAATATTATCGCTTGGTAGGCGAATTATTTGCGAGCGGCCTAAATTTGCAAGCCTATAAGTCGGAGCGTGCCAGCGAGTGTGTGAAGCACATTAAACTGTTTGAGCCGTTGGTAATCTATTGCCTCATGGTGAGTATAGTCTTCCTAATTAATGAGGTATTTATGTGCATGTTTCGTGCAGTAGACTGCCTCCCGCTGCATGAAAAAAAACAAGTTTGGTTTATTTTATGACTATTACCGAAAAAGTTTGACTCACTCGAATGTCATTTACGACATAGATATCTATAGATTCTAACTTCTTTTTAAGAAATTTCAAAATTTGTCTATCAAATTGTTTATTTATTTATAAGCGATTCGAAAAACGAACTATGAAATGGCCCATGTCTACCCATAATTTGGCTTTCTATTTTATATACATTCTAAAAAAAAAAAATTAGTTAAGATCCCGAACCCAAAAGAGTACCGAAAAAGCCCTGAACATCTTGAAAAAGTTCGAAGTGTCTCAAAATATTCTGAAAACCAAATAGAGAAATTCCAGAAGTATCTCCAGAATTCCCGAAACGGCCATAAATTATACGAAAAAAGGTAACGACGAAAAATCCCGAAAAAAAAATGCAACACTTAAAAAAATGCAAAACTCACTCGAAAAACAAAATCCCGAAAACTAAATCACATTGTATGCTTAAACTTACAAAAAAAAGAAGAATCTCGAAAGGCCTCGAATAATCTAAAAAAGTAAAACGAACTGTCGCGGAAAAATATAACACGTAGTGTCCCGAAGATTGACAAAAAAGCTTCGAAAACCTCGAAACCTAAAAGGTTAAAAAAAAAAACGAAAAATATAGAACATGAATAATCACGAAAAATCCCAAAAAAAAAAATCGTAAGAGCTCCCGAAATATCCAAAAAAAAAGTAAGTGCCGCACACTGTGCCTCTTTTCAATTATATCATGCCAAAAGTTCAAAATTAAATGATTTCAGATGGCCATGATTTTTGGTGTTCTGGCTGAGAAATATTCAACTGCTAACTCAATCTAATAAATTCAAAAGAGAAAACAACAACAAAACAAAATAATCGCTGTCCAAAGTTGCTTATTGTGACGCATAAAAATATAATTTTTAGTGTGAAGTTTTTCGCATACTTTTAAGCAGTAGTACTTGTTTTTGCAAAGTTTTTTAAAATAATTCTTAATGCGTGGTTTAGCTTAAATGTCTCCCAATTTAACCCGTAGTACAGGTTAATAATTTTCCTTGTACCTATATAGACGAAAAATATTCGAATAATTTATAATTATGAAAATACTAAGATTTTTAATGGAGCAGATGTTGCAAGTCTAGCCTGATCCAGGCTGGTCACCATGGCGGCTCCAATATGGCGACCAAATTTTTTAAAAATTTTCAAAATATATCCGTTTTTTATTTGGAAAAAAAAATATTTAGAGGTCGCTAAAAGCGCTCAAAGTTTTTCTAAGTATTTTATATAGATCAGAAAACTCTGTTTCCCATCAGAAGACTTACAATAATAATACCTAATTGTTTCTTTTACCATATTTTAATATTAAACATTTTTTATAGGTCCCTCAAAACCCCCCAAAAAATGCAGTGGCGGTACCGATAAAAAAAAACGTTGCTATTATGAAATGCTAAAACAAACAATTGGGTATTATTATTGGAAGTCTCCTGAAGAGAAACAGAGTTTTCTGACCGAAAAATATTGTTTTCAAGACTTCCATACAATTTCAACGAAAAAAAATACACGTAAAACTTTGAGCGACCTCTGAATATATTTTGATTTCGAAATAAAAATAAGGTGGGTATATTTTTCGATATAGAAGCATCCTAGTCGATGAGGGAATCAAAATTCGGACTTTAATATCTTCTCCCCACATGCAGGGACCACCCTAATGTTCGTAAATTGCATTATATGGTTAAGGCCAACGGCTATATTAAAGGCATTGTGGGTGTAGGGACATAACAAGTTTCGGTTTAAACCCCAGTATCTACTGAATATTCTTTCTCAAAATATAGTTAAGCTTCTCTAGTTTATTTTAGTGATTATCCAATAGCCCTACAGCGCTATTGAGGCTGTGATTTATAACTAGTACAATTTAGAAAATTATTTCGAAAATAGTTTTTAAGCGAATACCAAAGAGGTAGGTGAATGAAATAATTAAAAAGGTGTTTATTGTATTGCTACTCGCATTTCCTGATTCTTACGATAAGCCCTGCAAATATACATACATACGTCTACACCACAGGGGCACCAATACCAACTACTGAAAGGATACTACACACAGCCTGCAGCAATGACTCAGTTACACAGCCATTAAAATAATCAAAAAGACCACAAAAGCTGTTGCTGACGGCTGTCGGGAGTGCGGAGTTGATGGAAATGATACCTCAACGGATTTTACGCACAGCTTTCAGAGCAAACATTTATTATTTACTTGCTGTTGCTAACTACCACCTGATAAATATATTGCTTACCCTCCCCAACTATGATTTACACACACACATATACACATACACATATATGTATATTTATGTGCACATGCTCATGAATAAAATTGCATTTGCAAATTTTCATCTATTTTCAGCTATTCCTCAAATCGAATGCACGTATTCAAGCGCCCATTTTGGAGTTGCTATCTCAGTTGCTGGAACTCAATGTCACTTACAGTGTACTCGACTCGAAAAATGTAATATTTGATCAGATTTTAAACAATTTGGATTTAATTGAAAATGGCATTGTCAGGTGAGTGAGAGTATTGGGTGTTGATTTGTTGTTGATGCACAACTGTGTTGCATACATGGCTCCGTATTTGGCTGTGTATTGATTTGTGTGCTGCGTTGACCTACGTTGTGGCTACTGTTGCTTTATTTATTTGTTTGAGGATTTAACAAATGGCATAGAGAGAGGAGAGATGTTGTGGAATACAGGATGTATTGCCGGAAACAATGAAATGTTGCCTGTTTGCCTCGCTGCTGCGCTCTGTGGTTCAGCGTAGCTCTCTAAAACTCCCAAATTGCTGCCTATATGGCCCAAAAGTGTGTGTGTGTGTGTATATTTTGCTGTTGTTGTGGTAGAGGCTGCAGGATTATTTTCGTTTGAAATTCGAAAATAAAATGTTATCTTTGGCTGGTGGTGATGCATTTGCAATTCAAATGTCTATTGGCAGCAAAAGTGGGCGAGTTTTGGTGTTTAGCAAGCAAAATGCGCTTAAAGCATTTTAAAGGATTTGCATTGGAGTTTTTAGAGTTCAATTTTTTTTTTCTGTAATTTAACACATCCTAGTGTGAATTGTCGATTTTAAAGCTTAAGAGAAATACAATTGTGTGTGCATGCGTAATGATGGGTGTACACCTACCCATTTTCGTACCCGGGTATTTGCCTAATTTAGGGTAGATACTCATTGAATAAAAGTTTAGTACCCCTGCATCTAAAGCTTTAAAATTTTCAACTAAATTAAATATGTTGAATAAAATTGAGCAGGCAATATATGTACATATATGCCCAGAATAGTTGGTATATATGAAAAATATAGTCAAAAGATATAAAAAGTTAAACTGAACTGGAGTTATCTATCTACAACTTTAATGTTGCATGATGGCGAAAAAATATAGCGTACAACAATATTCCGATGCATCTAGCTTCAAGCAAGAAAATAAACATATGCACATATATGAGTAGCTTAGGTTTTGATGGTTAACGTACACCAGTATTTAAAGTAGTTGCATGTCCACTAACAGTGCAAGATCCTTATATATACATAAGTCGCTAAAATACTTACTGTATGTATGTATATATACACGTTCAAAAGTCGCTATAATATTTATTGTACGTATCTATACAAGCTAAAAAGTCTCCATCTTCTGATGAACTTAGAAAACTGCAAGAGTCGGAGTAGCCTAACCGAAGCTACATCTCTTTCTGTTATGACCCAAGGCTCCACTCGGATTGGTTACGACATCAAGTTGCTTAGAGTACGCGAACGACATTTTGACAGATTGAATGTTGACTGTGAATTCTGACTGTGAATGTGTGCAAAACGATTTTTTTTTATTATAAACTTCTTTACTACATCAACTTCATGCACATATTTATTTAAATTCTTCTACTCACCACAGAAACGGACCGCTCATCATTCCTCCCATGATCAAATTCCTCATACAGTTGACACACAAAAGCGATCGCAAACTCATCACCATTCCAAAAATTATCAGCATCATCAACAGCTTACTGGCTAACAATGCGGTGCTCGATTGCGCTGTGCTTGCTCTCAAATCACTTTCGTACGAGATCTTCTTCATGCCGCCCGTTGGCGGTAATGCCGCGCTCACCACACTTGCCGACTATCGGGCACCTTTTCAAAGTCCCGTCACACGCTCGCCTGTACAACAACGCCGTCCGGCTGTTGAAGAAGCTGCCGCCGCAGCTGCAGCTGCCGAAGCGCTATTGGCAAATAGTCGAGAGTTGGATACACAAAAGGAGGTCGTGTTGGGCATGTTAGAGAAATTTTTGGATGCCAATGAGCTGCAACGTGTCGTTGCATTGCTGTTGCTGCGCGAACGTAGCGCTCAGCAAATATATGGTGGGAAGCGCGTGGAAGCCGCGGATGCTGAAATGGAGCCACCCAAAGTTAGTTGTACGTTCGAGTCGACGCTGCTGCAGGATCCTAATGTCGTTTATGCGTTAATTTGCCGTGCCATGTGCGATGATCGCTGGCGCGTTAACAACTGGCAAGAATTTTACATTCTTGAATCGTGCTTTAAGAATTACAGCAAATATGTGTTGGCGGACAGTAAGAACTTTCTCATGCTGATGGAACTATTTCTAATGGAGGTAAGTGAAAATTGTTGTTTTTTTTCAACTGATAGGGAAATTATTTTAAAACGGGGCTGTTTGGGATGGTTAAAATTAAAAAAAAGGATATTTTCAGTTGGTCTTAGATTGTAATTAATGCGTTTGCATATTTCATTGAAAGTGTTTGGAATGCTTTGGTGTGCAACATCAGAAATTATTTATAGTATTTATTTTTATATTTTCACTATTTGCTGCTATCGCGTCTCGGGATTTTTTTTAACCAATTTGAGACTTACAAACTTCTTTGGAAAAATAATTTTATATAGTTTTTGCTAAATAAAAGTTGTGGAGTATTTATTTGTGAAATTTTCGAGAACAATGTTCAAGTTCGTCATTTTCCTTAATGCAAAACTTATATCGAACCTCGGAATTACCGAATCGTATACTAAAAAATGTCATGTCATGCTTATTTCAAGTCCCAATTTTATATTTTTAGTGCGAAAGCTTTCGAATGCAAGGCTTTAAAATTTTGCAAACAACTCTATGACCACTCTAATGTACTATATACATATGTATGTACAAATAAAAATATACATATGTATGAATATACTCATATTCTCCTGCTGTATCCTAAGCTTTTACCTTTAAGCGGCTTAAAAGAAAAAGCGTTTATGGCTATTTGACAATAGTCTATGTGTTTAAAGTAAATTTCAAGTAAATTTAAATCCCAAATAGCGCTACGAAACATCGCTGTCGCTTCAATTGACAATAACAAGATACAACCACTGCAACAAGATCACTTCGGAATACATATACGGAAAGCATGTTTGTTAAATTTACATTTATATAGGTATGAACTTGTAATTCTCTACGAACAGCAGGTATTTGATGTGAGAAAATGATTTTCGTAAGTTTATATAACTCGTCAATCAAGTTAACGACAAATTTAATCGCTTTATCAGTCTAAAGTCTATCTCAGACTAAGCCCATACGTATACATACAATAGGCGACAACTGAAAGTGTACGCCTTGTTTTAATATAATGTTCACAGTTATTTTCATGAAACATTTTTCTTGTATTAATTGTTTATGAAAGTATAGTTCATTCTGTAATATAAACCATATAAACATAGCTTGACACTTTATATAAAGTTCACAAAAATTCAAAAAAAAAAAAAAAATCGGGCATGCACAATCTCTTGGTGGGTCAAACTCAACGGAAGTCCATTTTTTTTAATGGGCCATACAATTTTGGCCACAGAATCTGATTCTGCGCATAAAAACACATAACTTTTTTTCGGCACCTTTTTTCTGGAAAGGACTACCGGTTAAAAGAAAGGACTCTCCTTCTGTTTAGCTCACTTCCAGTTCAAACTGGAAGTCGGTAATACGACCAAAACATAGAGCATTCCCCACTTGGTAATTTACATTTTTTCGTTTTCCAATTGAAACATTTTAACTGTAGGCAATTCTCATTCTCTTAAAGCTAATTTCTTCCAGATCCTATACACATCACAAGTCTTTTCAATGCTGTAAAAAAATGCTGGCCCTCTTACATAATTTTGATTTTTTCTTCGTTTTGATTAAACATANAGTCGGTAATACGACCAAAACATAGAGCATTCCCCACTTGGTAATTCACATTTTTTCGTTTTCCAATTGAAACATTTTAACTGTAGGCAATTCTCATTCTCTTAAAGCTAATTTCTTCCAGATCCTATACACATCAGAAGTCTTTTCAATGCTGTAAAAAAATGCTGGCCCTCTTACATAATTTTGATTTTTTCTTCGTTTTGATTAAACATATAGCAAACAGTACAAAAATGTGCCTTCTAGAATGGAGCTATCATTTTAATATTTCGCTTTAGATGTGTAAGATTTCCAGCTATGCCGAAAACTGCGATAGTTCAACTGAATTTAAAATCTATTCATACTAGCTTTTGCAAATCTTATCGTACTCGTTAAATCTCTATACCTGTGTATTATCTGCTAAGTCCTTGAATGTGGCCTAAGGTTGGAAGAGAATATCAGAAAAGCCAAGGCTGCCTCACAGCTGGTAAACCCATATTCCATTGTATTTATACACTTGAAACTTCTACCTTTTGTTGTCTTTAACTTCCGTTCACACGAAGCTTTTTACCATCATTACTGTAGCACTGTGGAATGGAAGAGAAAATAATTTAGTTAAATATGTGTAAATTACTTTAATACACAATAAAGTAGTAAAAAGTAATAATCTTGCCTGCACTGCCCTAATATTCTCTAAAAAGAAAACAGAAACGACTGAAAGTATACACAAATCGTTACACTGTAATTTTACCACAGAATAACTATTATCATGCCCAAAATTTGCCGCAACAAAGCACTCAGGAAATGAATAAATATATTTAAAAAAATAATGAATTTTTTGCGACATACTTTTAGGCGCAGCAGTTATGACAATTACCATGCGATGAGTTTGGTTATTGCCTAGGAAAAGGGCACTTACCCTAGCCATTTGATTAATCCGTTGATTTGATTTTTTCTTTACCTAACTACCAAGCTTTGTACACAGTGCAACACAGACAATTCGATTTTCACGCTTTTTTGCACACCTAAAAGTATGCAGTGCCGCACAAATATACTCGATTCCACTAGACTCGCATTGATTTCATATTGAACTTGAAGTTCATTCACTATTTCTTTGCTAGTTTTTTCGCCACACAAAAAATACATAACTGCAAATATCCTGCCGCGCAGGAGTATAGTCTGATTTAAGAGTGCATACAAAGGGGGGGTTGGGGTTGTTGGGGCTGGGGACGCAATAACACACCTTTTGTGTCTGCCAGACGTGCACTCATACATAAACGCATTCATAACAACATATGCGTATGTGTATTAGCACTTATGCCCCGCAATAATATCTACTATTTCGAATACACAGCAGGCAATCACCCAATAAAGTACATAATGCCTCGCAAAAAGTTTCGATTATCTTAACTTCTTATTATTAACTTGCATCGAAAATTATTCACACTGCTTCAATCCATTCATATTTGTGCTATTTTGACTCGATATCGAATTAGTTGCACGGCATCCATAAACTGGTTGGTATAGGAGTATCTTCCCAACTCTTGATGCACTGCTGCATTTACGGTACACTTTGTGTCTTCATACGTGGGGAAGCCTCAAAGACCACCTGTAGACTAAAAATAAACGGATGTTGGTATAAAACTGCCGGAAATTGTTGGCGGCAGAGATCTGAGCACTTGTGTCTTTTCAATGCCTCAGCATAATACGCCACCATTACCTTTGTTGAAGATATTCTGTAATGTGGAATTCCCTGAGGATGAATATTGGTTTAATACCGGCATGGAGCGCATACTCACAGATTGTCGAATCTTCAATGCTGGCTCCAAAAATGGCTCTGCGTCAGGCTCTGGGGGTCGTCATCGAAGTTAATGGGGATAAGCTTGACTTTTTCTTAGGGAGTATGCTTCTGTCTTCCAGGCTGAGATATTTGCAATCCTCACGGCCATGGACTAAATTGTGGAAAATAGGTGGACGGTCAGGAGTTTACGTGTCTGCAGTGACAGCCAAGCTGCACATAAGGCATTGGCCAGCCCTCTAACTACTTCCAAACTAGTTCAGCAATGCAAGTTTCGACTTAATAATTAGTCTGTTCCAATAGCAGTCCGGTTTACAGGATTTAGTCAGAACTTACAGGAAGTCGTTCCTATTGACATAAAACCTGTAAGTGGGAACACATTTGAGAGAGTAACTGAGCAACTGTTCCTAGTCAGAAGTTACAGGATTTAGTCCGGAGTTTTTTTTCCTGTAAGTTCATGAAAAGTGTCAAACGATCAGCTGATTCACATGTGCAAACAAAAACAGAAAGCGGTGAAAGCAAATAACCTTATATTTGTTAAAAAATGGGAGTAAACAACGAAATATTTGAATATGTATAGATTTTAATAATTATTTAGTGATATTTCAGCCAAATCAGTGTAGTACCAATGACATGTAAACAAACCGTCTGACGTTTTTACAGGAAATAGTGCTTTTTGCGTTCCTATGCACTTCTGCATCTGTTCTCCTTTTACTCTCATTCGAGAGCGTAAAATTGTAGTTTGACAGTTCCACAGGTTTTAGTCCGAAGTTCAAAGGAACAGACTAAATGTTGGCAAACATAACAAGCTTGTTTTACTTTGGGTGCCAGGTCACTCGAAAGTACCTGGTAATGAGACATCTGACTATTTGGCCAGAACTGGCTCAGGTCAGGTGTTGCTCGGTCCTCGGTCGACCATCGAAGCCACCATCAGAAACTGGGTAAATACTTCGCTCAGCAACGACTGGGAAGCATCGAGGGGCTGCAGGTGAGCAAAACCCGTGCCGTCTTTAGTCTCAGAAGGGCTATCTATTTTTTTTTTTGCTCTCATTGAGCAGCCGGGAATGCAGACAACTTGTTGGACTGCTGACTGGTCAGTTCACGTAACACAAGCACCTGACTATGATCGTCGTACATGACAACTCCATTTGCCCATCCCAACCTTGAAGAGGATGAGACGGTGGAATGCCTTTTGTGCTTCTGTCCCGCCTTTCGAAGAATTAGGTATGAGACATTTGGCAGCGATGTGTTTAGAGACGAACACGTGAGCTCTCTGATACCCAACAATCTACTTAAGTTTATTCGTAAATCCTGCAGATTTGAAACAGATTAAAAGGGGCATGAAAACAGTACAATGGACGGCATGTAGTCTGAGTATTGTTTTCTGCACGCGTTCTTTTGTGCCCGGTAGCTAAACCGTCTACCTCAGAAAAATTTGTATATTTCTTCTTATATATGTAGCAACCAAGGTACATTGAACAGGTAGTATCAGTAGAGCAGCTGACTTGATTTATTTTCAAATTATTTGGTCTCGAAAATGTCAAATATTTTTAATTTTTTCTCACAAAAATTCTGAATTGTTAAAATCCATTTGCATGTGTAACCTTTTTCCATACAAAACAAGCGATTGAATAGCAGCTTTTGGAACGTTCGCCCAACTCGGCAGCACGAC